CTATAAACGATATTAATGAGTTTTTTAGGAAGAATGTAGAACAGAAAGCCAAGCCAAGAGGACAGAATTCATTTGTAGCTCCTAACGCATATTATGAGTTTCAAATTGATTTATTTTTCATTAATGATATCCCTAAACAAAAAATGAAAGTTGGCATGATGTGTATTGACATATTTTCTAAGTATATGGTTGTTGTCCCGCTTATGTCAAAACAGCCAGCGGACATTTTAGCAGGACTGATGGAATGTATTAAAAACATGGATGGAAAGCCCAAACTAATTTATATTGACGATGAAGGGGCTTATAATAATCAAAGTGTTATAGATTTTTTGAAAGATGAAAAAATAGAATTACATAGAACCAGAGGTCACCCAGCATTCGCGGAGAGGGCGATAAGGACGTTTAAAGATAGCTTGTATAAGAGGGTTGAAAACGATGAGAAAAAAGGAAAGGCTATTCAATGGACAGACTACATACACGAGATTATATTAACTTATAACAATGGAATAAAGCACACTTCGCACGGCTTAACACCGTCAGAAGCAAGAAAGCCTAAACATCAATTAGAAGTGAGTTTAAATTTAGGTATGAAAGCCAAAAGAAATAGAGTTTATCCAGATTTAAATGTAGGAAATGAAGTTAAGATATTCAGGAAAAGGAGACCGAATGAAAAGGAGAGAGTAGGAGTATGGACTAAACAAACCTACAAAATAGCAAAGATTGAAAAGAAGTTAGGACAGGAATATTATTATATTGAAAATGATGACAGGGCATTTTTGAGACATGAGTTATTAAAGGTATAAATTTATTTCTTGGAAAAAAGTATTTAAAGAAATAAAAACTATATATTATAATAGAAATGGTGGAAACCGAAATCAATAGTTATATCAATAAGAAATGCCACGACTGTTGCCACTTAAAGAAAGAAAACATGGAATTATATAAATTGAATTTACCTAATGGAATAGTTAATCATATTATCGATTATGCTTTGAGTGAAGAAGATGAATGTAAAATTTGTCAGGAATGGAGAAATAATCAAGAATTAATCAGATATCATTTAAATCTGGAAAGAAGAAGTAATAGAAATGTTGAATATGAAATTTGATATTTTTAACTATGTATGGAAGACCACCTTATAGTTATTTTAGAGCATTTCTCAAAATCAGTAAGAAAAGGTATGAACTGATTGACCACATTTTATGGATGTTGTTACATCGTAGAAGAGAGGGGTCTGATTTAAAAGAAGACATTAAATCATATATTGAAAGCAATAAGTTTAATGTGAAAAATACCGTGAAACCTATTAATATTATTTTTGAACTGATGCATGACAAACGTAAGATATTTACACAATTTAATAATCATCAATTAACTTATTATCCTGAACTTAAATTATAATCATACTATAATAATAACATGTAAAATGTTATATGTTATAATTATATTTCAATATTTAATTTTATTTCTTGTAAAAAAGTATTTAAAGAAATAACAACTATATATATTATAATAGAAATGGTGGAAACCGAAATCAATAATTATATCAATAAGAAATGCCACGACTGTTGCCACTTAAAGAAAGAACATATGGAATTATATAAATTGAATTTACCTAATGGAATAGTTAATAATATTATTGATTATTCTTTGGGTAAAGAAAATTTATGTAAAATTTGTAGAAATTGGAGATATTACGAAGAAGCAATCGAATGTAATTTGGATATTAAAAAGGTTTAATGAAAGAAATGTTGAAGATGACATTTTGATATTTTTAACTGTGTATAAAATACCACCTTATGATTATGTTAGAGCATTTATGAAAATCAGTAAGAAAAAGTATGAAATAATTGACTACATATTATGGATGTTGGAGTATCAAAGAAAAGAAGGGTTTGATGTAAAAACAATCATTAAATCACATATTGAAAGTGAAAAGTTTAATGTTAAAAATACAGTGAGAGATACTAATATTATTTTTAAAATGATGTATGAAAGAGGTAAGATGTATCAATTAAATTATTATCCTGAACTTAAATTATAATCATAATATAATAATAACATGTAAAATATTATATGTTGTAATTATATTTCAATATGTAATTTTATTTCTTGTAAAAAAGTATTTAAAGAAATAAACACTATATATTACAGTGGAAATGTTATTTAATTATTCAAAGTGCGAATGTTGTACAACTAAAAGGAATGATGTTAATATAACATTGTATAAGTTATTACCCGCCAATCTATGTAATAAAATAAGTGAATATGATGTATATTGTAATCAATGCTGTATAACAAGAGACCTTGAAAAGTTTTTTGTTGAAGAACATAAGGATAAGGGATATACAAAGTTTCAATTACAATTGAAATTCTTTATGAGATATCAAAAACGATTTCCTGTATGTTTTTACCATAAAATTGCTAGAAAGTCATTTGAAAAAGAAATTGATGAGTTCTTTAATAATAAAGATTTAATTAAGAGGTTTGGAGGGGCAAACGCAATTAAACCATATAAAGCATTCGTTAAAAAATTTCGAGACATGTTTGAAGCGATTGATTGGCATTTATTAAGTAAAGATAAAATAAACGAGGTCTTGAATGAATTTAGAATAACTAAATATCATGTATGGTCTTACTACAACACTAAATATCAAGTATGGCTACTAGTTAATTTGTTTTTCTGGGAATATATTTATTCAATAATAGGAAAATACAATATCAAATATATAGACATTGGCGATATTGATAAATATGTAGATTACATATTTGAAGACATTTTCCTGACTATAAATGTAACCCATAATTATTAATCATACTATAATAATAACATTTATACCCTTATATGTTATAATTATAATGTAAATATAGCGTTTTATATATTGAAGATAAAATCCTACAAGGGACACGCGAGCGTTAGCGAAGCTCGCAAGCTATGCGACCACGCCTAAAAAATATATGATGAAACTGATGAAACGAAGGAGGGAGTGATGTTGTTGCTGTTCTATTTTTTGTCCGAGAAATGGACAAATCGTTTTTAGACAGTTCGAATATTTTTTTGATGACAAATATTTTTTGCAATATATTTTGCAAAATTTATTTTTTTGAAATGGATGAGGTGAGGAGATTGAGGAAATGACATTTTGGAGGGTAGTTGGTGAAATGAATGAGGCGAGGAGGAAGGAGAAAAGGATGGCGAAAATTTTTGAAAAATGATGAGAAAAAAACGGATGAGATGGACAAAAACGAATGTAGAAAAATGATGAAAACGAATAAGGGTAGAAGATGGAAGATGGAAAAACATGTAGGGGGGGTGTATGTATGAAAGCAATTTATTGCTAGGCGTGGCCCTCGACTACTGAAAGGCCTTAGGGGGGAAAGGGGGAAAAGGATCTCAGCAGGGAAAGGGGGGAGGGGGGGAAAGATCTTAGGGAGGAAAGGGACAAGATCTGGGGACAAAGGCCTTAGAGGGGAAAGGGGAGAAATGATCTCAACAGGGAAAGGGGTGGAAAAGATCTTAGGGAGGAAAGGGAGAAGATCTGGGGGAAAAAAGGCCAACGGGGAAAGGGGGGAAAGATCTAACGAAGGAAAAGGCAGAAGCTCTCAGGGGGGGAAAGGCCTTAGGCGGGAAAGGGTGGGAAGGATCTCAACAGGGAAAGGGGGGAAACAATCTTAAGAAGGAAAAGGGGGAAGATCTGGAAAGGCCTTAAAGGGAAGGGGGGAAAGAATCTCAACGGGGAAAGGGGGCAAAGGATCTTAAGGAGGAATAGGGAGAAGATCTCAGCGGGGGGAAAGGCCTTAGGAAGGAAAGGAGGGAAAGGATCTCAACAGGGAAAGGGGAGGAAAGATCTCAGTGAGGAAAGGGAGAAGATCCCAGGCAGGGAAAAGGCCTTAGGGGGGAAAGGGGGAAAGGATCTCAACAGGGAAAGGGGGCAAAGGATCTTCGGGAGGAACAGGGAGAAGATCTGAAAAGGCCTTAGGGGGAAAAGGGGGAAAGGAGCTCAACAGGGAAAGGTGGGATCCTAGGGAGGAAAAGGGAGAAGATCTTGGGGGGAAAGGGGGAAAGGATCTCAACCAAGGGAAAAGATCTTGGGGAGGACAAGGGAGAAGATCTCAGGGGGGGAAAGGCCTTAGGGGGGAAAGGGGGGAAAGGATCTGAGCAGGGAAAGGGGGGGAAAGATCTTAGGGAGGAAAGGGAGAAGATCTGGGGGCAAAGGCCTTAGGGGGGAAAGGGGAGAAATGATCTCAACAGGGAAAGGGGTGGAAAAGATCTTAGGGAGGAAAGGGAGAAGATCTGGGGGAAAAAAGGCCAACAGGGAAAGGGGGGAAAGATCTAAGGAAGGAAAAGGGAGAAGCTCTCAGGGGGGGAAAGGCCTGAGGGGGGAAAGGGTGGGAAGGATCTCAACAGGGAAAGGGGGGAAACAATCTTAGGAAGGAAAAGGGAGAAGATCTGGAAAGGCCGTAAAGGGAAGGGGGGAAAGGATCTCAACAGGGAAAGGGGGCAAAGGATCTTAAGGAGGAATAGGGAGAAGATCTCAGCGGGGGGCAAAGGGGGGAAAGGGGGAAAGGATCTCAACAGGGAAAGGGGGGGAAAGATCTCAGGGAGGAAAGGGAAAAGATACCAGGGAGGAAAAGGCCGTAGGGGGGAAAGTGGGGGAAAGGGAGGAAAAGGGAGAAGATCTCAGGGAGGAAAAGGCCTTAGGGGGGAAAGGGGGGAAAGGATCTCAACAGGGAGAGGGGGGAAAACATCTTAGGGAGGAAAAGGGAAAAAATCAGAGGGAGAAAAGGCCTTAGGGCAGAAAGGGGGAATGGATCTCAACAAAGAAAGGGGGGCAAAAATCTCAGAGGGGAAGGGGGCAAGGGGACAATTCCAAAGGGACGCAAGTAAGAAAGCAGGCCTGTAATGTCGGCGGCCTGAGCCGGAGGCGTTAAAATACCCTTGTGCTCTTGTTGATGTCGAACATTTCTGGCAATCTCTACGTCGAATCCTAAGGCCTTGCCTCCTCATTGATGATGCTGCTGAGGTCTGCAGCTTTTCTTGCCACAAATGAGAGGCCGAAGACCAAGATGGTCTCCTGGCTGGGTGTCGGCGACACCGGCGACACCAGTGATGTCACAGCCAGGGCGCGTCAGCCAAGTCGACGCTTGGATCGAGGCTCGTGTCTCGGTAGACTTTGACCTTAGTTGGAAAAGCTGTGCCTTGGCCTGCGAGAAATATCAGCCTCTGGTGTCGACACTTGAAGTTTCCAGGGTGGCGTCCAAGGCAACACATGGTGCTGAGGAGAAGCTAGATCACGCTGTAGCCTTCTGATGTGCTGAGCAGACTCTGCAATGGCTTGCAGCCTTAAGTCATTGAGCTCTCGCGCAAAGTACTCCGATCCACTGCCAGTTTACAATATTTCCACAATTCGTTGCATCTCAGTGTCAGGGTCTTTCGAAGTTTCTTTGGCGCATTTGGCGCACCTTGCAGAAAGACTCACGTCATGCAGCGGGGGCAACGCATAGAAGCAACGGAAATGAGCTCCAGTCCTGTACATTGCTCCATGAGGGCCGTGGCCTCCTGCGAGATTGCCTCCGGTGCTTGGGCGAACAGTGACAATCACGACGAACGTGGTCAACGTGACACACATGACAAGCAAAAGGTGATTCTGGCAGCAGCCTGCAGTTTTGGCTTCATCTTGTTGATGAACTCCTGATGCTTGCCTCCGAAGTCTTCGTTCAACACCTCAGTTCAACGACACAATCTCGCGAGTGCTGTGCACAAGCCGTGATGGACCATACTGAAAGCCCACTTGTCTGGCACACTACCTTCGTTGTCAGATTTGTACTAAGGCCCCAACACATGACTTCACTGCTGGCAGCACATCGAAGACATCCTTTGGCACACGCAAATCTAAGGTCATCTCGCTTCGAGTAATCCAATGCATTGTGGGAAGTGAATCGAAGCCCTGGCAGTGTCCTGAAGATTCTGCTGGATTGTCAAAAGCTGCTGGCGCTTGGGCTCGTAGCGGCAAAGAAATGCCGACTCCCACCAGGCCGCCTGAAAGGCCGCATGCGGCAGTCGCTGCATCCCGCGTTGTTGGCCCGCGGCCCGCCTTCAGGTTGCTGTCAATGGTCATGTTCAGAGCGCCGATCATATCGATCTTTGCTTCTAGTCTGAAGCCTGCACACGGTGATGCTGGCCCGATGGCAAGACATGGCTGCTGAGCTTAGTGCGCTGTGCCGTCTTCCGGTCGCCGCAAATGTACTCAACTGCTTCTGTCCTTGGCATGCTTGCCACCCAGCGCAACGCAACCAATCTCGCCCTGGAGAACAATATATCGAACATACATGAACACACAAGCACACACAAACTTCAAAAACTTCAATAACTTCAATATTCCTCACGGCTCCAGGCGTCCAAACACTGCTCACTGCATTTGTCACTGTAGCAAGCTCGGAGTATCCCTTCCTGCGGCCCATGGCTTTGAGAACAGCTTGCACGTGTGGCACGTGCTCAGTGCCTTGTGTTGAACAGCGGAAAGGGAACAAACGTGACAAGCACAGCAAAGAAGCAGCCCAAGAGAGTGGTCACTAGAACCTCAGGTCAAGGCAAGCCAGCATGTAGCTCACACAAACAAAGAAGGAACTGCCGAGTTGCCACGAACCAGTACCTGATGTTTGCCATGCGGATGCTAAGCTATAAAGACTTGGGCGACTCATTAGGCAGCTCTGTGTTTTCCAAGGTCTCATCAAGCTGACTGGGACAGCACTGTGCAGCTGCGGCACTCGCTCATGCAAATCATGTCAAAGAAGACCTTGTCATACGATGGGCAGGTGCTACGGCCAGTCTCGGGATCTATGAAGTCCATCATGAAGTAGAAGTGCCACGACATGCCTCGCAGTGTCACGCTTCCGCCACCTCAAAATATGCTGCAGGCAAACTGTCCGATACAAGCTGCCGAACTTGATGGTGTTGATCTGTGAGTTGGAGACCATGAACCTTGAAACATGGCAAACACCAAGGTGCATAGTAGACATGCCAATGATCCACTGGGCAGTCCGTAAGGGTTCGCGATCACTCGGTTTGACATGGGGTGAGATCGCAGCTTCAAGCAGTGGTGCTGTGCGCGAGCTCTGAGGTTCTGCTCCATCCGTCCAGAAAACACACAAAATCACACAAATGGTCTCTAAATGGTCTTACTTTAAGACTTTCAAACGAGGCGCAAGAAGAGTACGCCCAAGGTATCCAGCCAGCCGATCCAGGGTTGGTAGCCCGGCGAGGAGTACACCATCTCTCCTCGCGCGCAAGGGGAGCTGCTCAAGCGATGTCGAAAGGACCCGGCCTTCAGCGCATTTGCCCAAGCCCATCTGCACTGTGGTGCAAACGGCTCCCTCACCGGCGTTACAAAAGAAACGCGGGAATCTGAACACACCCCGCACAAGCAACTGCAAATTGAGTCGAAAAGACTGGGCTTTTCCCGCAGCGCGGAGGCAGCTGTGAGCTTGTCTGAACAAGGTGATGTTACTTCAGGCAGTGTTCTAAACGGCATGCGTCATTTGGAAACCCTAATAGCCTAATATAGCCTAATGATCTGCTGGCTGCCTGGAGCGAACCCAAGATCGGACAACATAATTCTCTTCGCCCTGAGCTGATCTGGATGGATGCACGAGCATTTCATTTGGAAACAAAGCTGGGTCTCCCAGGGCTCGCTTGTGCCGAGCGTTGCATTGCCATCGCGGAAGCCACAAGGGATTCTCAAAAGGCGGCATATGAGTTGTTGCGTTTGTGCAATCTGGTTTTTCCATGTTTTGGAAGGATACGATTTGCACCGAATTGGGGATAGACCGATAGACCTGTTCTTGTACACAAGTTCTTAACAGGACTTGGGCCGTGTTGATATTAATTGTGATACCAAGCCTACGCCTTTGGCCGAGCAGCAAAACCAGTTGTGAAACGCCCCTTCAAAAAAACTCCTGCTTTACTCACACAAAACAACCTTATGTTCGAGCCTGGGAAATGCATGAAAAAGACAAGGAACGGAAGTGAGAGGGAGTGGACGTTTGGCGTGAAGCGGGGGAGATAATATGACAATACGAATGCTGGTTTATGCTAGCGGCGCCAGAAGGAACTCAGCAGTCAGAAGCTACTTCTGAATCGTGCGCATTTCTTGACGTTCGGGGCAAGTTGCATTCCCCTTTGAAGCGATCCCATGACCAAATGTTCGAGTCTAGGCCAAGTTGCGTTCCCAGTGAAGGCTGATTTGAGCTGCATCGTGAAAACACAACGCTGATTTTGGGCAGGCGCATTTTGTTGCAATATCCTATTGGAGTGTCTACTTTGGGCGTTGGAATCCTGCAAAACAGTGTATCCATGAACACACGAGGGACAGAGTCTTGCCCGTCTGTTTTGAGCTTGCTCTCTCGGAAATGCCGGGTTTCTGCTACCACCGTTGCCTAGTGTTTGCAGTATCTTCCATTCATCGGATTCTTGTCACATCGAATTACGTGTCTTCTGTCTTCGCGACAATGCCAAACGCAGAAGGGCCCCTCGCTCACAGTGAGCAACGAAACCAGGCCGGGTCAATGTGCTTGCCAGGACATTAGGTGGGAGGGCTTCACCACCAGGGTAAGATCCTTGCCTCTAGAACATGTTGCATTCTGGACATGTCAGTTGAATTCAGGCCAGTGTGCGATGCGATGTCAAAAGCAGGCTGCCCCCTGCCCCTTTCAGGCACTAGCCAACCCAGCCTTGCCACCTTCGGGAAAGAGCAGGGACATCACAAAGCAGTTGAGGCCTAACGCTGCCATCGACTTCTTTTTGTGGCAAGCGCAGCGCAAACGCTTCGGCCCGGGCATGCGCAGAAGGTGCCGACGAAGCCCTGCCAACAGAGCTGTATCGTGGTGCCAGTGCCCCCGAAGACGGAGAAGACCACCATCCTGCGACTGCGAGGCTCACCAGCCCAAAACTGGAAGGGCGACACGCGAAACGGATACAGGAACCCAGATTGGACACTGTTTGAGGGATGTCACAAGAAGAGGACACGTGCGTTGCATGCTTTTCTGCAGACCGGGCACTGCACCACATTGGGCCAGGTCTCTGACCACTTCTCTGGCCTCAGTGACGTCACTTCAGTCCTCTCTCACCACAAACGGCTCTGGGCGCAGGGCAGCAGGCCACACCACAGCTCAGGGTCCGAGCTTCCGGTGGAGGGCGGGGCGGCAGCAGAGCTGTTCCAGGCACTGGCAGCACGCAAGCATTTCTTCGCCAAAGAAGAGGCTGCCGCCTCAACCTCGGCTTCTGTGTGATTGGGGCATAGTTCCACATCCTGGGCCGCCGCAATCACATCGACATGCCTTGCCATGCCTTGCCATGCATTGCCCATGTCCGCCATGTCCGTCCTTCCATAGGCGTTGTCGGGACAGAAATATTCCTTCTTGGCATTTGACCTCAGCTCTCCATGGAGGTCCCTCTGATGCACAGCCTTGTGCGCCGGACTCGCAGCTTCCACCCAACCACTGCTGCCAGTTGTAGGTGAGGCGAGTGTCAATGACAGCCTGAATTGAAACTCACAGGTGCTCGCATGCTTGTCCTTGCCTGCTTCTGTCTGCCAAGTGGCCGTGCTGTTGAAGAAGTGGCAAATGCCCCCAACAATGTGGCCATTCGACTGGCTCTTGAAAGACCAAAGTGAGCAGCTACCCTTTTGCTCGCACAGCTTCAAGCACTTCTCGCCGCCGTCCGCCTAGAAGCTTGTCGCCAACGTTTTGTCAAACTGGTGACAAAGTGCAAACAAAGTGCCAGGATCTCCTCCTCCGAAGTGACGAAGGTTGCCTGAGTTTTGCTGTTGCGAGGCTAATGAAGCACATGACAAAGTCTTTGCAGTGCGCTTGAGGTGTGTTTGAAAAGCAGACCCTCTAACATGCAGCTGGCAACGTTGACTGGTGGAATGTACACAGGTTCGTTACCGTCGATCTTGGGAAAATAGTTGCCTGGCGGCCGGCAGCTGGTGGCTGGCGGCTGGGCGGCTGCGAGCTGTGCGGAATCTGACAAAGCTGCGCGCCTTGCGCATTTCCGATCCTGGGATTCACTCTCTGAAACGCAAGCACCTTACGCAATCGCCCGAGTCCCTGCATCCGGGGTGCCAGAAACGCCGGAAAAAGCCAAAGTACCGACGCCCGGGACGATAGCCGCAGACTTTCCCGTCGAGGCTACTGGCCGAAGCATCGTGGTATGTGATGCTGACATGGCAAGAGAAGAAAAGAAAGGACCACCTGGGCACCAACAACATGGAGAGGCTTCGGATTGCACACAGCGCTGGGCTGAATGCAGCGCTGAAGCCCTTGATGCAAGCCCCCCACCAAACAACTGGGTTTTCTTTGTGGGCTAACATCAATCATTCCCCCCGCCCCCCCCATCCCCCCGGGACAACCCTATCAGTCCTTGTGGTGTTTAAGAAAGCCTGGCCCTCAAAGTCTGCCTGCTGCAAGTCATTCCTGAGCGATGAACATTACTGGCTTTTGTATTTTGCTATGTATGTAATCTATATACATATGTATATATATGCTGTTAAACTCAAAGTGACTGTGTAAACCTGTGTGTGACAGCGCGGCCGTGTAGGGCTTTTCTACTCGGGCAATGTGTCCAGGCTCAAGGCCTTGATGTATCAACATATAGCGGGTGCCACATGTACTGCAAGCTGTACAAGGTTGGATGTATATTAACACGCTTCATCAAACTGTGCTGGGGTCAGCACGCTTTGCAAGAATGTACATATGACCTTGTGGTTTGGGATGATGTAAGACAAAACTGCATGTAAACTGGTTTCCCTTGCCGTCGGCTCAAATGTACCCTGATGTCCGGTGTGCCACTGCGGCGAATGTATTTCACTGTGTGAGCAGCGTCGTTCCCTGCTTGACCGCTGTGATGAGCTTGGTGTAGGCCTTGTTCTTGCTCGCAGCAGAATGTGTGTAAAACAAATGCTGTTGCTCGCGGATGTGTCGAGGTGATCCTTGTGACCGGGAATGGCTCCTCCATCCAGTGTACACTTGGCCTCAACGCTGTTGGCATCTTGCGTGGAGATGTGGCGGATGAGTGTCTCCTGATGTTGAACTGGCAGGCACTTGGCGTTGTTGACGCCCATAATGCACAACGCTTGTGCAACTGTGGGGCGCCTGCGACTGTCATCCGGATCTGTAGCCAGTTGTGTGAGGTCGACGCAAGCGTTGTAAAACCAAATGTATCCAGTCTCCCAGTTGTACTTCTTGTAGATGCCAAACAAACCATCGTTCCCTGTGTACTTGAAGACACCATGCCCCGTCCGGCGTCTGCAACCATGTCTTGGTCGAATGTATCTGCGTGTGAGTTGCACTGTACCCTCGGTTGAAGAAGCTGGTGAGCCTCTTGAAGCCCATGATGCGCCTGATATCTAACTGCGCTGTAGCCACATAGAATGTGTCCAAACGCCGTGTGCGACAGCTGCCTGTAGAGACGTAATTCAAAAGTGTTGCAACAGCTTCAAAGGGAGAGCTGTTCAGCGCGATGTACTCCACCTCCGGGTTCCTGGCCCAACCGTGGATGTACTTGAGCACGCCATCTGTAGCTCACGCTGTGAACTTCTCAGATGTCATCGCAATGTGCGTTGTGGCTGTCAGACCCAGATGAATGCCATCCAATGTGCGAAGAGGCTGTTTACCCCCCGTAATGTTCTGCTCGATGTGTCCCAAGGATGTGAGGACCGACTGTGTCCCATGTTCTTGCAACTGTAGTGTCTGTGGCCGGGTTGTATTCCGCGATGCGTGCCAAACCTGTCATGGCAGTGATGTACCTTGTTGTGCAAGAGCCTCTACCAAAAATGCAAAAATGGCTGCAGGTGTAAATCAAATCATTGTTTGAAGCATGTGCAGTCTCTCATGTAAAAGATGTCTCAAAAGACATCAAGAATCGAAGTAGTCGAAAAGGCGAGGGTTGGCCCATGGCAATGTATCTATGTAGTTGTGAAACATACACGTGTGCGCAACTGTTGTTTAACATAATGCGCGCGCTGTGTGAAGCTGGTCGCGATGGCCTCAAAGGCAAACTGTGTAAGTGTGCTTGTTGAGTTTCTCCCAGCCAACGAACTTGGTGAGAATGTCGGCTGGGTTGTCTTCTGGCTTTACCTTGCGCATTGTGATGATTTTGCTCTTAACAAGTTGTTGTATGAAGAGGTGCCGCAGTTCGATGCGCTGCGCTTTCTTTGATGTATCTTCTCTCGTTGCGATGTTTTTTTTTGCTGCGCTGCTGCCTGTGTGTGTCCTGATGTTGGCGCGTGCTTCAAATACTTCTTTGATGAAGTTGCTGATGTACAGACTCTCCTGTGCTGCTGTACCACTCGCGTACAGCTCTGGCTCTGCTGATGAGGGTGCTATTGTTGCTTGTGTCCTGCTGCCATAGTCCAAAGAAGTGTAGCACAAATCCTGTCGCGCTCTTTCTTGTTGTCTCACACGATGCCCAGTTGGCATCTGTGTAGATGTCTTTTGTTTGTACCTTTGGTCGCAGGTTGTGTCGCATGTGCCTTGTGCCTTTAAGGCGCCTGATCATGTGGTTGAGCTTATTGTTGTCAAGTTGTGTTGGTGCCTGTAGTGATCTTTCTAGTTCCTTTGCTCCGTAGCAGATGTCTGGCCGTGTGTACGCTAGCCATTGTATCTTGCCGACAAGCTGCCTGTGTTGTTTGTGTTGTTCGTGGTCGAGCGGCACTTCATCCTCTGCTGTACCTTTCATGCGTGGTACTCCTCGTGATGGTGCTGGGTTGCATGTAGTCATTCCTGACGCCCACAAAGTTGTTGTTAAAGCTGATGTCCTGCCAAAGAAATCTATTTTTGAACCTACATTGAGGTCGCCTGTGTGCCTCAGCAGTACTTCCTTTTGTATTCTGCTGAACAGTGTGTTGACCATGCTTTGTACTCCTATGAGTAGGAGGTCGTGTACATAAATCATGATGTAGACAAGGCAGTCTTTTGGCCTGCAGACATTACTCTCTGTTGTACATCTCACAAGTTCAAGTGTGACTGTGCTATGTGGTCTTGCCATTGTGTGGCGATGATCTTAGACCGTAAATGGCTTTGTTCAGTCGCCACACTATGTGTCTGCTTTCGTCGTTGTGGAACTCGTGCGGCGGTCTCATTACCAAGTTACATGTTGTATGAGATTGCTGCTGCATGTAGAAATGCAACACTCACATCTCCTGCGCAGACTGACCAGTTGTACAGCGATGCCATTGTGAGAAGGACTCTCAGCACGCAAAGCAATCGTGTGCCAGCGCACGGGTTTTGTGTAGCCTTTTGCTACAATTCGCGCTCGAACTTTGTTGTTCTTCTGTTTGAGAACCCATCTTGATTCATGATGTTTGCTCGTTGTTCTGGTGTCATTGTGTTCCCATCAATCTCTGTAAAGACTGATTCGTCTTTCATTTGTTGTACTTCTTTCTTCATTGCTTGTGACACCAGTTGTGGATCCAAGTCTTCTGTGTCATGTGTGATCGGCTCTAGTAGGTTTCGACTTCCTGTATGTCCGCATTTGATGTGGTCTCAAGTTGTCTGCCATCTTTTGTGGTGAACTTGATGGCATTGTCTCTCATTTTGGTCTTTGGTGGTTCTGCTGTTGTTGGTCTCTCCAGTGTTTGTCTCTCTTCTGCGGTGCGCTGTCGCTTGCCTGCGCTGCCTTCTGCTACTGTGTCATCTCTTTCTCTTGTGTGTTGGTGATGTAGCCATTGCTGATGTTGGTTCTGTCGCCCTCTTCTGCTTTGGTTGTTGCTCGCTCGACTGTGCTGCCCTCTGTCTCTTGTTGTTGCACCCTTCTGTGACGGTGGTGCCTTGCTTGTAACTGGCATCGTTAATGGCGTTGTGGGGGTCGGTGTGGGCAGTGCTGACGCTGGTGTCTTCCATGGACCTGTGTTCACTCCAGCAGTTGCCGCTTGCATTTGTGAGGCTTGCTCTGACAATCTTGTTGTAGCTCGCAATGAGGGATTCGCCTGTTGTTGTATCCTTGCCAAGCCAGATCCCGTTGTAGAACCTTGGCTCCAGTTTTGGAAATTGTGTTACTGTTGGAAGCATGTGTTGCACTGTCTGCCAAACTCGCAAAGTGGTGTGTGTTTCTCTCTGTTCCACCTGTTGAAGTAGCTTGTGCGTCCGTTGCTGTGAAATGCATACCTGTTGATGCGTGCGCTGCGTCGAACTATCCAAGGCATGAGTGGATGTTTCATCGCAATGTCTCTGTTGTAGTTTTGCCTGATTTGTGCCTTCAGTGTTGCGACTTGCGCAAACAATGTTCGGTGCGCTTGCTCTACTCCTCCTTGTGATTGTGAACTGTGCGCCCCTGAGTTCCTTGTGGTGATGTTGCCATTCTTGTTGGCCACTGCTGTGATGAGCGCTGTCAGGAAATCTTCCTGATCTGATTGTAGTATGGTGTGTGAAGTCCTTCCACATTCAATGAGGAAGTGTTGTAGTTGTGTGACTGCGTAGTTGAAGAGCATCCTTTTGTCGGTTAGCTGTAGTGCCACGATCATCCCTGATTGGATGTCACTTGCTGTGAGAATTGGATGTACGTTGCTCTCATCGAAGCCTTTGATTGTAGCCAAAGTCAAGCTGTATGATTGGACGCGTGCTGCGCTGTTTTGGGCGATTGTTCTGCCTGCCTCTTGCTTGTACGCATCTTGGACGCCAACTTCTGTATCGAGTACCTCCTGTGGTGTTGGTTTCTTGGGTGCTTGTACTAGCTTTGGTGTTGATCCCTGTTGTTGCTCTTCATAACCTGACTCAAGTTGTGTAGGAAACTTCAGATGTTCCTCAAAGTTTGTCCAGCCTGTCCAAGGCTTGTCTGTGTTTGCTGGTCTTCTACCAATCTGATGTCTGGCCCGCATGCGTCTGCTCTGGTATGTAAAATGAAAATGCTGCGCGTGGCTCGATGTGTACTCTCTTCCAGTGTGGGCCGTCTCTGTGCCAGTAGTCTTCTCCTGGATGTACTTCTGAAGGATGTGGAAGTCCATGTTCAGCTGCGCCTTGGGTTGTGTGTGTGGAGTTGTTGGTGGTGTTGTCTTCTCTCTCAATCGTGTTCGCGGGTTGTATTGGATCAGTTGCGGTGTGACCTTCTGCGGCGCGCTCTTTGGCTGTGTCTTTGCTGTAAGCTGTTGCTGTAGTGTCTCAGGCAGCGCTTCTTAATCCTGAATGCCGTCTCTCCTCTCCACATTTGCTGTCGCGCTTTGGTTGAAGCATCTGTTGTTTGGCACTTGTCCTCAAACGTGTTTGTTGTACCATCCTTGAATCTGGCGGTCGTTCTCCTGTAGTCCTCAAGTTGTTCTTCTGGGACTGGACACTGCGTTCTTGTTGGTGTGAAGAGCGTCTTCCTGTATTGTCTGTGTACTCTGACAAGTTTGCCTTGTGTGTTGAACTGCCAACAATCTCCTGCGTATCCTGTATCTGCAGGACCTTGTGGTGTAAGCGTTGTGGTCGGTGCTACCATGCCAATTTGTCCTTGTTCTGCGTTGTGTGTCTGTAGCTTTGTTCCTTTTGGCGGTGCTGTGATTTCTGCTCGTAGGATGAGCAGGCCGCTTCTGTTCTCCAGTGTGCTGTTGAATCCTTTGATGCGCTGTAGCCTTAGATTGTCATCTAGTGTAAGCTGGAAACCTTGTTCCACCAGCCTTGTAACCGAAAGAATTGGCTGTTTAACCTCACAAACGAAAATGGTATGACAATCTGATATCCACTGTGGTTTGTCAAGCAAGCCCATCTCTACCCATAATGCTAGATGCGCTGATTTGTCACTGTTCTGAGCTGTGGTCCTGTTTCGTGTTCGAGCTAGCGTGGGAAGTGTGGCGCAAACCATGGTGGGCATACATGTGTAGCCGCGCCGCTGCCAACCATAAGACTGACCCGTTTGTTTTCTTCTGTGAGTTGTTGCGCTGCGCCAATGGCAATTGTTACTTCTTGTAATCCTGAGATGGATGCTGCTTATGGATCTGCCTGCTGCGGTAGTTGTGGTATAGTTGTCATCGTAGTGCATCTGAAAGTACCAGTCATCTGCCTGGTCGTTCGTGTCGAAGTTGCCAGCGTCGCAGTTGTAGATCGCAACTACATTGTTTGGCCATGTGTCCTGGCTGTCCGCATCTGTCCTTTTCCGCCTTGTTGGTTGTTGTAGTATCCTTTGCCTTTTCCTTTGTATATGTTTCAAAGCCGTCGCCTTGTGTGCTTTGTCTGCATCCTCGTAGATGATGGTCCATCGCGTGCGCTCTCTAGGATGTAGTGTAGGTTGCTGCTCAGTTGTATCCAGTGCTCTGCCACTTGTCCTATTGGCTGCTCTGACTGTGGAAGCCGTCTGTTGTGGGTCTTGTAGTCCAAGGCATGCTGCCAGTGTTTCCATTCCTCAAAGGTGTTGTCTTCTCCAGTGAACCGTGGCGGTGATATCTTGTACTTGTGGATTCCTTCCAGCTGCTGTTCCTGTGGCCGTTGGTGTCGTGCTGCCATGTTTGCTCACTACTGTGTACCTGAACCTGTGGGTGCATGTTAGAGCTCACCCTGGGTAATGTGTGTGGATTGTGTACAAGGGGTCACTGCTCCGCTACCATATTAAGCTCAAGGTCTGTGTGTGACAGAGCGGCCGTGTAGGGCTTTTCTACTCGGGCAATGTGTCCAGGCTCAAGGCCTTGATGTATCAACATGTTTTTCTCCAGGGGTACCATAATGCGACAAAACACAGCATTGTCTTACAACACTGTACGGAATTACACAAGCACCATCAACACTGCCAGCATCGTGTTAACCCCCCCCAGCATCATTCCCGCTCCCGGGTATCACACCAGTGGGCTTGTGATTTAAGTTTGGGTTTGGGCTGCGCTCAAGGTGGTTTAGGATTGGCTTGGGGCCCACTTCTCTGGTGACAACCAAGCTGCAAGCTGCGTCTGATGAACTTACATTTTGTGGTAGTTTTTGCAGGTATGTCAAGTAGCCCACAGCGATAGACTCATCAGCATTGGAGCCTGGCTGGGGCTGGTGACGCTGGCCTATTCATTGGTTTAGAGCTGGTTTTGGTTGGTGTCGGGTGGGTTCACGGTTGGTTTAGGGTTTGCTTAGGTTTTGTTTAGGGCTGGCTCAATGTCGGTTTAGGGTCGTGGGTTTATTGTGGGTCTAGGAATTGTCAGGGTTTGTTTAGGGTTTGCTTCGGGTTGGTTTAGGGTTGGGCTTAGGGCTTGGGATGCTGGGGTGTGGAAAGCCAAAGCCATCAGAAGCCACCAACAGCAACGAAAACACACAACAACACACACACACACAAAAAAAAAACAACGAAACACAGCCCGGAGAAAACCAACAGAAACTCTAAACAAATCGTTATTGGTTGGACATCGTCTTTTCTGTTCTCTAGCTGAGAACCACAGCCGAGTTTCTGTATCTAGGTTGAACCATGGCGGTAGGATGCTCAGGTGTATCTTGAGAGCAAAGACGCACTGAATACTTGTGCCATCAGACATTATTCTGTGGGCAAACCACGCACGACATGGATGCTTGGGCACCACCAGTCCAAACTTCTCTCTCTGCAGCTGTGAGTCGTTGTCGTACAATCCTTCACGTCCAACAAATCCTCATTTGACAGACCACTGTTTGAGAGATCACACCAGTAGTGCTCCTTGGATAGCAAGACTCAGATCATACCATGCCCTACTTGCTGTAGGATGTTCGTATGCTGGCCTGAACAACACGCAGGCATGGGCCGGCACCGAGTATGTGGATGGCTGGTTGTCTCCCTGCCCTGCCACAGCAAAGTAAGGCTCGACAGTGTGCAAGGCTCCCAAGGCTTTCCCCGCGCTTGGAATAACTCTGCGGTCTTCTCTGTCTCACCTCAAACGGCGAAGCGTTTTTCTTTATAAGGAACAAGCGTTTGTTCAGCTTTGAACGTTCTAGCTGGTGCTGGCTTCACTCAATGTCCACATCACGCCCAGGCACCATAAACGAATTTCCGTGCACTAAGAGCATAATTGGGCAGACCGACGAAGGCAATCCAAAAGCCAAGCCAGAAGGCCAAAGCCTCGCGGAACTCACAGCCATTCACGCCATTCTCACGCTCGCAAGCTCTCCAACGTTTGAGGATGTTGTAACTTCTGTCGGACTTTTACTCTCCAAGCAGCCAAATTCGACCAGAAGGTGTGATGCATTGTCTGATACCTCAGACACCGAGACACAGCCCAGCCGAAAGTTCATTTTCTCGGGAGCACTTCAAGCCCATGGTCTTCAGGGAGTTGATCTTCTCCTTGGCGCTTGTCAGCCCCAGCTTCCTGAGCTCAAAGGCGTCTGAGACCGTCTGCCGTCTGGTTCTGCCAAGGCTCAGGTTGCCCAAGGGACCCAGTAACTCTTTGGTGTCTTCCGTCAGCGTCGGGCGCTCCTCTGCATCGGCCTCCACCTGAGCTGTTGGCTTCCGAGTTTTGTGGCAAATCCAAAGCTGTGACTGGAAGGACAAAACACGCGACCAAAAACATCACTGCCAGGGTTTGACATCTGTGATTCGGAACGGACGCATCTGCACTCCGAGCAGCATGAATGTGGGCGCCTCAAAACAAACTTGGGGATAAGCACATCACTCCCAAATCGCTTTAAGTGAAGGCTCACAGTCAACTATGGGCCAAGGTGCCGAACAGAACAGAGATGCTCGCTTGAATATGCGACAGAAAGTTCTGATGTGTTGCCTTGCAAATGGCTTGCTTTCAGAATTTAAAGACGTGTCTTGCCGCATGAGTTGCAAGGTCACTTGCCCGCCTCGCTCACCATTTCTCTAATAGAGGAGCGACGCCGCGTGGGATTGTGAGTGCAGCAAACCTCATGCCACACAACTCATGCCGCTCGGCATCCCCGCAGGACATCCCACACAGAGCATCCGGCCCCAGAGTCAGAATCTGCGCTCGTGTCAGCACTGTCTTGATCGTAGTCTCACAGGGAGGGTCAAGCAACATCAAGGGGACAAGCAGCCACCATACGCACCCAAACCCAATAAAAACGAGATGTCAGCTCTATTCAGATGCCATCAATGCGACTTGCCTTCGCCGAAGTCATCGACCTTGGCAAAACAGTTTAATGCTTTGCCGTTCCTGGCATGCGCTTTCCTTGCACTCGGCCTCCGTATCTGATGTGTCTGAGGCCGTCATGAGGAGTCCGCTCTCGTCATGGGAAGGCTGTGACATCAAAAGGAGAACAAAACATTGAGTGAGCATGGCTGTGCTTGGTATGGTGGCAAGCCAAATGCCGTAGGACCTGCGAGTTAAATATGACTTTCCACTCTCTGAACTCCGAAGCAAATCACATGCCTCATGCCTTCTGGGCCTTGTCCAATTCATTTCATGAACACGCATCATATTAAGGCAAAATGCTGCGGCGGCTGCAGAAGGTGCAGTCAGGAGCACTCAAGGGTATGCTGAACTTGCCGTAGAACAAAATATTGAAGCCCGAGAGCATTTGTTCAATGCACTCGACTTCTGTCAGCGTTCTGAGTGCACGCAGTGGAGGCAACTCAGCTCTCCTCTTCGGACCAAGAGGCATGGCCTGCTCCCATGCCTGAAAATCAAATCAGCACATTCACATTCCGTGCAAAAAATCTCGTGCGGCTCTCAGAGCTGGCGCGCCTCTCGCCCAGCAAGGCCGCCCTGGGGCACTTGAGTTTTCTTCCACTCAGCTCCAGCGCAGTGTCTTGCGGGTGTTCTGAATTGTTCTGAGCTTCCGGACGGGCAGCTTCATTTTGCGGGCCTACTGCGGCCCTCCGCTTCTGAGCCAAAAGGGCACGCGGATTTCGGGGCGCCCCGGGCTCGCATTTCCAACTTTGGCATGTTGGCCAGCAAGGCCCGAGTCCCAAGTCCCGAGTCCCAGCCTCTTGCCGCGAAATGAGGCCTGCACGTTCCCTCCGGGCCAGGTACCTTGCTACTCAGCTCGAGCTCAGCGGCATATCTCAGCATGGGCCCAGAATGAATCATGATCCGCTGGCGTACTCCCGACCCCATCAACAGCGCAAGGCCTGCGTTTCAGAAAGATAAGCTAGGAAAGCGATCGGCAAGCTTCTCTCTAGACACGCTACGTTCGTGACGTTCAACTTGGGGTAACTCAACTGCACGCCACGTGAGGGTGCCTCTTCTATGGCTTTACAATGCCAAGTCTTTCAATGCCTCTGCCATCTGTGCAAATCACTGTCAGCGTTACTATTGTTTGATGCTGGCATACATGCGATGATTGTTGCAAGAGCAACAAGAAGGAACACTTATGTAAGATCTAATGACCGGCTAAGATGGCTTTGGCTGCAGTTAACAGGGCTTTGCCCACCAAATATTACCTCTTAGAAGCAACCATGATCTTAAAACGATTCTCTCCGATTCTCTGTGTGATGGAGAAAATAAGGTGGACAAAATAAGGATGCACCACATCGAATCGTTGAGGTCGCTGCATCTCCAGTGGTACGTCACAGCTATGTTCAAAGCGCAAGCTGAGGACCCCCGTGTGAAGGGCTTCCAGGATATGAACCGCGTCAAGGCTTCCGTATCACTTTCAAGATCTCAAGGCAAGCTGAATGCACTCCAAGCGAGTATTGGGTCATACCCTGGGGCACTGCTTCAGGCCAGCGTGCCGCTGGTCTTTCTTGATTTTGCGGCCTGAAAGCGCCGTTCCACTTTTCCGGTCTTTGACGGGGTAAGACACAGATTTGCATCACCCGCTTTGGCCAGTAAACGCCTTCCCCTCGCAACTCTCAGGCTCCAACGTTCCAAGCCAGGCCACATCCAGCCCAGTCCGTGAGCGTACCTCATGAGCTGGAAAGCGCCCAGAACCACTCTCGCAACCTGATTCATCCCGAACATTGGCCCCTACATTTTTGCTAGACCGATCGTAATTCTCCTTGATCCAGTGTCGTGTTGCAGCGGCACCGTGCTGTTGAGCCACTTCCATGCTCCATGAGCGCATCTTGCCAAAATGTGACCGTGCAACCAGATTCCTTCCGAACTCCGATCGCGCGCCAGGTGAGCTTCTGCGGGGCGTAGCACTGCATGTCGTCGCCTGAGGCATCGCTTGAAGCCAAGTCTTCCGACTCGTCCGACTCGTCCGGCTCCGGCTCCGATGCGACGCGGAGTCTCGGGGCGCCGCTGAAGGCCGCCAGCTCTTCCAGGCGCTCGCGCAGCGAAGCCGCGCCCAGGCCTTCGGGTGGCGTTCACGAACAACGTGCTCCAGGCGTGAGCCCGTTGAAACGAACATCCAACTGCTTTCAGAATTGGCTTTCCGAATTGTTATCCTTCAATGCAACAGCATCTGATGTTAGCGATGTTCGCCAGCGATGTTCGCAAGCGTCTTGGTACCCGGGCGCAACCGGTTGACCCGAATCGCAACCTGAGTTGAGATGGTTCTCACCTGATGCCTTCCATCAATGGCCCGCGGCGGGAAGCCCTGTGCGAAGCGACTCCAGCATCTTCAAGAACTCCTCCTCTGCAGTTGCATTTAGCCCAGCCAGTCCATACTTTCTCTTGCCTCCGAGCAAATACCCTGGCGCCGGTAGTATGCCTGGCAAGTAACATGCTCGGAGAGTCTAAGATTGAATTTGGCGAGGCAAAACTGGACACTGCCGGCTCATACACGATGGTTGAGTTTTTTGGGTGGCAAGCGCCTCGTAGTTCTCATTCTTGTATTCCCAAGGCTCACACTCCATCCAGGCCTCAGAAAGATAACCGTTCAATATGACCTTGAGAAGCTGTGCCCATATTCCCTTTTGCATGCGTGTAGCATCAGCCTGTGTGTAGCGAGCTTGTGCTTATATTTTCTGGGTATTGCAGATGCTAGCCACCGTCATCAGAGGACAGTAGCTGCAAGCTCACACACACACACACACCATGGGCATTGCACGAGCGCATGCTGCGCAACAACCAATTGCAGCTTGCATCAACTTAGGCATCTGCTTCCACCCGCTGACGCTTTGCCTGGGACAGGCAACGCGGCAACGCGTTTTCATCTGACGGTCACCCATTTTTTTGCAGTGACCTAAACCTTTGACGCTCTGCGATGCGACTGAGGGCCTGAACCTCTGCCTCCTCTGCCTGCGATTGACCAACATGGACGCATAAAGCGGGCACAGCGAAGCATCGACACCGATGCCTCCTTGCCCTTGCCCTTGCCCTTGCTCTTGGGCCTCATGCCAACACAAATCCGACGGCGGTTTGCCTTTTGCAGTCTTTGGCTACGGAAACAGCTCTGATTCTCACATCTCAAGGCACTACATACACCTAGTGCCGGCAGGCCCCAGGAAGAGAAGAAATCTAGTTGTCAGGTACGGTACAACCACAAACATATTCTGAGCTGCGGCTCTTTCTCTAGCGCCAAGTGCTGCGCTTGCCACGCTTCTTCCCCGCCATGGCTGAACACTGATGACTGAGCTGCTTGTCGCTTTTCGGTGGTATGCTTCTCAATACCTAGCCACCCAAAAACCTCATCGATACTTCTGGACAATACTGAGACTGCTCCTTGGGCAACATCTTGCCAAGCCTTTCAGATTCATTGACGTTTGGGCCAGCTTCAGGTCGTCATCGGGAGGAATCTCAGTGGGACAAATACACAGCGGCCTGCCGAGATAGAAAGACATCTAGACGTGCAAGCGGACGACAGTGTAAACCAGACAGAATGCCACAATGCACAAGGCAGGCATTTGCATCGATGTGCATCGATGTGCATCGATTTGCATCGATCATCTCCGCAAGATGACGCTGCCAGAAGTCGTCAGGCAGCTGCAGCGGCCCTCAGGGCATCTGATCTCGACCGGACACACTGAGCTTTTCACCGAGGCACGCTGAAACTCCAGCTCCACCGGTGGCACAGGCGCAGACTTTGGCGCAGCACCATCTACAGTCAGCAGCACCCACCCAGGCCGTACTCCTGCCTGCGCAAAGGCTTGGGAACGAATCATGCGCTAGTCTTATATAACCTGTCGCAGTGAAAGCAGTGTGGAAACTATGCCAACGGCCGAGCTCAATCGAATCACTCTGCCCGTTCGCTCTTCCTGCCTGACTCGCCTTCTCTTCTGGGCGCAAGGATCGGACGAGCATGACGCCCTTTGTCTCAAACCACTGGATGCCGATCTGGTCCTTCGTTTGGCAGTTCTAAGCCTGTCTTTCGAGTTGTTGCAGCGCTCATCACCCTGGCCTCTGATGTGTAGATGACCAGCCGCCGCCGAATGTTGCGTGCCGGGGCAGTTAGCAAAAGCCTGAAGCAAACTGCGCAACAGACTTGAAGCATGTTCCAAAGGCATATATCAGTCTGCGCCAAGAAGACACAAAGCCACTGTCCCTCTAGACGGCGTCTCCCTTAGCTGCGAAGTTTGCAAGCTGAGGGACCGCATCTCCTCCGTGTCTGCAAGGTCCTGCCCGGCGCTTTCTTCCCTGACATGCGCCTTGCCTCAAGCTCTCTCGAAGTTCTTTGTCCGAATCCAATTAAGCGACTCTACAAAAGACAAAGAGTCGCTTTAGCTTACGCGGCAGTCGGCGAGCATGTTAAGCATAAGCGTCGCTCGCGCGTGGGTGCTTTGCGCGTTTCCCCTCAAGAATGGTGTTCGCGTGCTCCTTTATCTATGCATCCGCCAGAACTGTTCAAGATGACGTGGACTCTGAAGCTGACACAGCGGCTTGTCGTTTTGCTTACGGCAGCAGGTCAAGAAATGGCTTATGCGGCGGCATCATGGGCCAGGGGGCAGCGGAGGCGAGCATACGCAAACCTTGCGGCCACGAGCCCTGTTTCAGAAGCCTTTTGTCCTGGGAAAGGTTTCAACCTGGCAGGAGCCCCAACTGCGCATCTTAGACGCGCCTTCCTGCAGCTCAAGTCTAATTAAGGACAAGTTGTGAAACAACTCGTCCGTGCAGGCAAAGCTAAGCCGTAAGCTTACCAAGCAATCCTTCCCCAAAAGTGCTTCTGTGGGGCCTCATGATCCAACTCTTGCTTGGGACAGGGGAACTTTGAGCTCTTGCTCGGTTTCGTGGCCCGGTTCTGGGCAGCTCCTCGGGCTTGCCGGGCACGTCCGCCCGGCACGCCATCAGCTGCTGCACCAGCGACGCCTCGCGGCGCTGCAGCGCCAGCAGAAGCGGCGTGGTCCGCGACCGCGAAGTCTCCACGTTGGGCGACGCCTGGGACGCAGGAGCGAGCGGACCGCGCGGGGACCGCGCGGACTGGGAACTTCCGAACGCGACTCGCCGCTTCAGTCCTCGCCTTGGCGTCCAGCAGTAAACGCGCCACCTCCGCGTGGCCAGCGCGGACAGCATAGAACAGGGCCGTGTAACCAGACTCGTCCTCACCGGCTCAGGTCTCCGCTGAGCACAAGCTGAGGCTAGGTCCTCTTGTGCATTCAGGTAGGCTGCAAGCCTTGAGGCAGATGTCGCAGTGCAAAGGTGTCTGCACCTGAGCTGCGTGGCGCAGGCAACCTGCTTCACTTTCAAGCCTTTTACCTTTGGGGCTTTCAGCTCAAGGCACAGCTGCAACCAGCCCTGCTCTGCCCCCAGCATGAGCAGGGTCTGCCCCCGTTCTTCAAACAGTGGCGACGCAAGGTCAATTCCCAGCTGCGCAAGGCCTCGATTGCACTGCATGCATCATGCATTGCACCGGTCCCTTCGCCAGGCTGCTTGTGGCCCTCTGCTCCATCTGCTCCATCTGCTCCGTTTGCGGCTGCTCCGGCAGCTCGGGCGGCGCCGGGGGGAGCCACCAGTCGCGCTTCCTGCGCTGGCGCTCCGCCCAGGCGCGGAGCTGCGCCACCTCCCCGGCCGCCAGAGCCTGGCATTGCCCCGGCGGCGGCTGCGGCGCTTCCGAGACACCTGGCAAGTCCCCGAAGCCCAGGGCACGTCCCAACTCTCATGTCTCATGTCTCCGAAAACACGGGCGGTGCGAGATGTGACATGGTGGCTGGCGAGAAACACAAGCTGGTCTGCGCCCAGCATCCGCGCGCCCCGTTCCAGGCTTGCCACAAGCACAAGGAGCTGGGCAGCTCGGCATCCTTCAAGACTTGATTGCCGGATGAGAAGACATCCTCAACTCTCCTTCAGGTACAGGTAGCACCGGTTGTAGTCAAAGTTATGCAACTTTGCATCTGGCCCACCAAAACACCAATGGCCCGACCTCAAAGATCAAGCTAAGGAGGGAACTATACCAGAGCAAACTGTGTCGCGCGTGTTCACCGTGTATGTGTGTGCGCGTGTGTGCACATTGCAGATTGAACATCATTGAAAGCAAAGAGCTGGCTTTGGCACATTGCTAACTCCCAGTTTATCACCACCTCGAACTTTATCAACTGAAAGCGTTCTTTTCTTCATGGGACTGACGGAAGGTCGGAAGGTCGAAAGGTCGCCCAGACATAGCAACGAGCTGAGCCGCTTGTTCGCATAGATCCAGACCTCGTCGTCTGCTTTCTTCCACAGCGGCTTGTCATTGGCGGTCTCCTGAGCACACGACGAAGCCCGCAGCCAAGAGAGTTTGCCTTAGGCCACCACCTTCTGCAGCACAAAGCGTCCTCCACAATGCTGCAAGCCGGGCAGGACCTGTGTCACACTGTGTGACCGGAAACCAAGTTCGCCACAAGTCTGCAGCTTGGGCAGTTACAAAGTCTAAATACGGAACATCTAAGAGCCTGTCTGATACCCACAGCTGAGCAGGGGCTGCGACAGACATAGGACGCCTGATCCAATGCTTGCCAGGCCATATCTGAGCAACAGGTGGTGACCAAATGCAATAGCTGGTGTCCCATTCGACTGGCTGTGTTGTGTTGCGGACTGCCACCAACATCACATTCCAGCGCTTTACTTACCTAGTCCACTAGCATCAAGCACCAGCTGAGTTCTATCAGTTTACTCGCATATCGCTGACACAGTGTCTTGGGCCATCATCGAGCCCGGAAGCTGCGAGGCACATTTCATGCTGTGATGTCCCATGCTTAAGTTCCCGCTCTCGTCCAACTGCCATGCAAGACTTCCGATGAACATATGATACACTGCCCAAGAGAACATGCTTCCGCTGTCATGGCCTTGACTGCGGAACGATGCAGGCAACGTGAATAATTTTGTGAGACGCTTGCTGCCATGCGAGCCTACTGGCTGAATGTGTCAAGCGTAGTCAAGTGGCAGTTACTTGCGAGTGCACTTGCGAACATTTCGTGCATGTTTTTCACGAAGCTTTGCACAGCGAAAAGAGATGGTGCTCCGAGCGAATGCTGGGGCAGAACAGCTTGAGCATGATTCGCGTGTGTGTGTGTGTGTCTCTGAGCTGTGCCTGCTTTGCCAGAAACTGAACTATCATGTTTCAAACTTATTGTCGAAGCTTTACGGTGCACCTCTTACATTCATACACATACAAACAGCAACATGATGTGTGACTTATTTGAGCGGCTCCTACGTTGATTTATTTATTTATTATTATTATTATTAGTATTATTCTTATTATTAGTAGTAGTATTAGTATTATTATTATTATTATTGTTATTATTACTATTATTATTATTACTATTATTATTATCATTAGTAGTCTTAGTATTAGTATTATTATGAGTATTAGTATTATTATTATTATTATTATTATTACTATTATTATTATTATTATTATTATTATTCTTACTATTATTATTATTATCATCATCATTATTATTATTATTATTGTTATTGTTATTATTATTATTATTATTATCATTATTATTATTATTATTATCATCATCATCATCATACAACATCAATCACACTAGCTAATTGCCAGCTCAGCGTAGATTTCAAAAGCGAGGATTTTTGTGGCAAGCTTCAAATGGTTTCAAGGGCTTGAAAGGGTGGCTGCAATCCTCCACGCAAGGCAGCGGACGTTTTGCAACCAACGCTGTACAATCCTTGGTAAGGGCAGGTACGATACTGTCGTACACCCAGAGGGCAGTGCGCCAAAGGCAGGCGAAATGCCTGCCGCATGTGAAGATAACAGACGAAATGCCCATCAAATTCGACTCTGAGTCTACCTGCCACTCTCAAAAGCCCCTGGCCACATGTCCACCTTGCAGAATGAGAGGAACATCCAGAAAGGCTGGGCCGACCAATCAATCCAAATTCATGATATCCCTGCTCAGCGCGATCAAGTTCCGATTTCGGATGCGCAGGTGATCCCGGCATGGGAAGTTTGAGAGAATCCCATACACTTCGTCCAGGAAGTCGTGGCTGCAAATGACGTGCCTGGTCTGCAGAGCCCCAAACCCATCTTCCTCGGCATCACTGGCTGGTCGAGGCTGACTCTGCTCCCCACTCTTCTGTGACTCTTGTCGGGCCTCCTTCTGCTGTCTCGCCTCTTGGATCACGGCAATCTTCAACATGTCGTTGAACGCACGATGTGGTACCGGCTCTTTGTCCGCAACATCCTCCGGGAAAATGCGCAGCATATCATCAATCCCAAGAAAAATGAACTTGGAGCCCTTGGAGAACTTGCTGATCAGGCTATCGTATTGCTTCAGCTTCTCTTCTGGTGCCTTCGTCCTTTCTTTCAACTCTTGCATCGTGTCCGCAAGCTTGCTTTTCAACGTTTGGGGAGTTCTAGAAAGAGACAGGAGCCAAATGCTGCCTTGATCGATTGCAACTCCTCGTCGGACAGCTGCCTCCAGAATGTCTGCCCTGAGGTTCGCCAACTTCTCTGCCGTGAGTAGCAGGCCAGTGCAATCTTGGCTCATCACCTTCTGCAGAATGTGGTGCAGAATTTGTGGAATTGAAGACTCATGTGCTGGGGCCTGGCTTGCTTCCTGCAACTTTTGGCAAAGTTCCCACTCTTCTTTGAGAAGCTGCAGCCCCTCCCTTTTGCCAAAGTCTTTCAGCGCTTCTGGCCGGCACTTCAAGGAGTGTCTCACGCACTGCTCAAAGTATAGCAAATCAATCTGCTGCAGCGGCCGAGAAAGCCTGCGGTGCATGCGTTCCAAGTCCGATATCTCCGTGAGGCTCACCTGCAACAAGAACGTGACTTCTTGCAGCATTGACGTCCTTGGAAGAAATGTATTGAGCTTCTGCATGGCTTGGATCATGCGATTCAGTTTGTGATATGAAAGCTCACATGGGCTTTGAGCCAGGTCCTTTACAGCGTCTCCCAAATCTTGCGTGCAGGTGTCAGAAATACTGAGCAATCGGTCAGAAATCTTGGAGATCTTCTCCTTGAGCATCTTGGACTGCTCAGGTTGCCTCTTGGCAGTCCGAGCCGCTTTAAAAAGAGTCAACAGATTCAACAAATCAGCAATCTCGTTGTACAAGCCATCCGCGTGCGCAAGAAGCCTCTGAGCGGCGGTTTGCTCCAAAAGATCCGAAAGTGCCTCGGTCACCCAATTGAAGCCCGTCCGTGGCAGCATCTTCCTGGATACTTGAATCACACCACCTCCAAATCGTTTGAAGGCTGGCAACGCTCGTGTGTTTGTGGGGTGAGCCTCCAGATGATCATCACCAACCTCCACCCAGTAGAGGTGCTGCGCATGGTTTAGCGGCGTCTCCAAGTGTGGAACAATGATGCTCATCATCATTTCAAACTCTGACGGCTTACTGGAATCAACAATGCAAACGATCATATCAGACAGGTGCAAGGCCGCGAGAGCTTCCGCATCATAGAATTGATCCAGCTTCAAATCACTATGTGTTCCTGATTGCTTCATATCTGGAGCAATCACTACTTCGATACGTTGCAACATGGATGGCAGCATCATCCGCTCGAACGGCAACTCCACCCGGTACGGGCAGCGATTGTCAACGTGCCTCTTGAATGCCTCCTGGATTGCTTCCCTGCAAACCTTTGTGCGTGGACTGGGTTTGTGGCTGATAAAAACAGAGCGCTTGAGCTCATCACCGGACTCGGGAAGGAACTCATCTTCCAGCAAAGTGTTGACCCAAGCTGCCTTCAAGGGGCTCCCTCCAAGAACAGCCACTTTCACATTTGGAAGCTGTGATTCCTGGAGCCTTGCAAGCCTCTGTGGAAAGATCAGCAGCGGGCAAACCTCTGCGTGCAGCGTTTGCACCTGTTGGTGCTGCAAGAGCTTGGATTGCGCCACGTGGCCATACAGGGCGTGCTGGAAAGTGATCCACAGACGTGGGTCCCAGCTTTTCTGCCTTGCTTTTTGCTCGGCCTCCCTGATGATTTGGCCCAAGCGGTGGGGCAGCCCGTCTTTGGAAGCAAGCACTTCCTCTGCAACGCGACCCGTAGCCTTTGCCGCTTCTAAACCAGGAGGCGGGGGACCGAGCACAGCAATGCATCGGGGATGTAGGATCTGCGGCTTCCACTTCATGAACTCATGTACTGCAGTCGCTTGATCACAGGTAACAAACACAACATCTGATGTATACGCTAAGAGCATGTCTTGTGTCAGCTGACTTTTAATAGTGTCGTTGCAGATAGCAAACGTAATTCTAGGCAAGTGAAGAATCTCCATCCCCTGATGGGCAGCCGAAAAATTGAACTTAATTGTCACTTCTGTGTCATCTGTCGGCCCAGGATGATCTGCCAACTCCAAGGCTGCCTCAATTGAATCTAGCCCGTCTATCTGCGTCTCTACGCCATATCTTCGGAGATGCAGCTGGGGTTGGCTTGCAATCGGATCGTTTATGTACCGCGCTCTGCAGCACTGAGGATCTGAAAGCAGCTGTGCAGGCAAGCTATCCCCCATCAGAGAGGCCAGTACATGCTTGTTCCACTCACTTGAAGTTCCCAGCACTGCCACTTTTAGAGCCGGCGCTCCAAATCTTCGCATGGACTCCTCGAGCTGTGCTTGAAAGTCTGGCCTTTTGGTCAGCTGTTCCATGGAGCATCCGCAAACCGCCTGCATGCTGGTTGCGGCAAACACTCTGCGGCGCGACTCGATGGATTCCTTGAGCTCGTCGGATAGCATCCCACTGTTGACTTCCTGAGGGAATGGCAAAGCAAAGCAAAGCAAAGCAAAGCAAAATGAGACATTGACACTCGCTGAGCAAATTGCCGCCTCTCGCCTTTTCAGATACATGCAGAGACTTTTCACCCGCCGTATTGCTTGCGGTACATGCTTTTCACTGGCCTCCACTACCTTCGGCGGTTGTTTGAAAGGCTTTGTTTCCGTGAGTATTGGCGCGCAGAGGACTGTCAAAGCTAACAGCTGGATTCCTTACCTAGGCTTGGTCCTGTTGGGGTGACAGGCCTAATACTTCCATGAACCTCCCGCGTGGCTTCTGCGAAATACGTCCGCAGTGGGGTCTGAGGGCGGAAGCCGCTCTAGACTAAGGGCTTGTAATGATCCATGATTGCTATCCAGTATTACATTTTCTTCTTCAGCCAATCGTCATGAGCACAATCCAGCAGGAATGAGCGAACTTTCTCGCGCCCGACATGCAAGTTGGATGCATTTCACGGTCTGCTTCCACAAGTTGTCCGCGAAAAGCTCTCGCTTCCAAAACCTTCTGCATTCTTCCGCGTACAACTTCCAAGAATATTATCCCGCTCCCCATTCTATTCAAATTGCGTGAAACAAACGCCGCCGTTCAATTGGCGTTCATGCCATTCCCAGCAGGCTGCTGTATGTAATTAAGGGTGGCCAAGGCAATTGAAGGAAAACGAGGTCAACTCCGGAGCAGACAAAGTCAAGCTCGGGGGAACAAGTCCATTCCCAGCATCTTCAGTGCCGCTTGCACCAGCCCAGCCAAACGTTAGCATGCGCTCGAAGTGGCGTGCAAGAGACCACACGCCTCATGGGTCCGCTCCGCGCTTGTGTCTGAAACGCTAGAACCTGCTTTGCTAAGCGTATGGCGCTCACAGCTGCTTTCGCACACGCCGGCAACCGCTTCAGCTCCGCCCTGAAACTTCGCTTTGACCACACACAAACGGCGGCGTTTGGGTGCGCAAACCCCAACGTAGCCACGCCCGCCTTGGCTCGGCATCGCAACAGAACAGAAACTCCGAGCTCCTCTGGCACGACGAGCCATTCTCCGGCGAGAAAAGGATTCAAGCGAGGGACAAGGGGGCCACAAAAGCAGGGTCAAACGAGCCCAGTGGGTTGTGCCGGAGATGGTGAAAGCCTGCACTCTGGATGTCGTTGCTCACATCAATGGCGGAGAGGAAATAGGTCGCACTTCCCAGACAAGGGGCAAACGACAAGACATGACATGCCTACTGAACCCGAGAAGCTCACGAAGGCGCTTCTGTACGCCAGCAACATGCATCAGGACGGCGGTGCTGGTGACAGCTGGAGAGTGTGGTTTGGAAAATGAGAAAGGGATCCCTGCATCGCGTTGACACCGCGACAAGATGAGAAGCCTGAAGGAGGATAGGCAAACTGCGGCAGCGTTGCGTTGCTGGACACAACCAGCTTCAAGGACACAACCAAAAGTTGAGATCGAGTGAGTCTGGAACCACAATATCCGAAACGTATCTAGTGGGGCTAAGGCACTCCTCACCACTACCACCTTTGGAAAACGGTGACCCTACTCAGCGCAGAATTGCTTTGTTGCAGTGAGCAACGGGGGGGTGCGCCCTTCACCTGTATCACTAAGCAAGCAGAAGCGTCGGAAACAAATCCCTTCTGAAGACTGCTGGAATTAATCAAGTGACATTCGTCTACACGGATGCGTGCACTTCCCAACAACCGCTGGTACTAAGCAGTCCAGAACAGGGCGTTTATCTGCCATTCAACTGGGAAGCTGCCACTGCAAGCGGGAGAGAAGCAGCACATTTCTTGTGGTTCCCGGCACTTTCGGTCAAAGTAAGGGAGGACATCCTTTGTTGTGCCTAGGAAGACTCACAACAGTGTGCCAAATCAATCACTCAGTCACACTCTGTCTCTCTCTCTCTCTCTCTCTCTCTTTCACGCACATCATGCACAAACGCATGGTACACTTTGCGGCTCCCCGCCTGTGCTACCTCCGCCAACCTTTCCGGTGCGTCATCAACAACCAGCCAGGCAAAGAAAAACTTAAAGCGGGCCAGTGCGCACTCGATGGGTGTCGGGCTCACTGACAGCATGTAGGTACCAGGCTGAATGGGTGCTCTGAAGCTGAAGGACTGGCTGAAGTATGATGCATGAGTCCCACGGTATAGGCCAGCTGCGGCATTCTTGGCATCCAAACATGCTATGGGTTCTTGGTCCAGGTGGACCCGCAACCCCTGAGGTTGGGAGAGAATCCCAACTGCCTGAACATGAACTGTGCTGAAGGGACTCGTGCATATCTGCAGTGTCATCATGTCGTTTGTAAAGCATTGTAGCCAGTTCTCAGGCCTGCCCTCTCTGAGCACATGTTCCTTCAACACTGCCCAGGGATCAAACTCTTCGGCTCCCGCGGCATCGTGCTGCGCGATGTAACTTCTGCAGATTGCTGGGGTGTGAACGTCCAATCCGAACGCAGGTGCCCATGCAGGCACCTCCGCTTGGCTGCTTTGCAGCTCCGTGTCCTTCGCAGAATCGGACTTTGCCTTCTCGGAAAGCTCACCCTTCGGCTCCTGCGCAGTGCACCGCAGGGCGGAAGGTCTCCGCTTTTGATCTGCTTCCAAATTTGGGGCCCAGTTTGCTTTCCTTTGAACACTACGTGCTACGTTGCGGATAAGCCAGTTTAGCTGAAATTGCATGCCCAAATTGCGAAGGTACCTAATCATCTCAGATGGCAGAGACTACAGGAATGGCTACAAGAATGCTACTATAAGACTGCGACAAGACCACGGAAAGACTGGCAAAACTATTGAAAGCTGCAAGGCCGCGGGAAAGCTACGAAGACTCAAAACCAAGCAAAGACTACGGTAAGACTGCTGGAAGGCTATAGAAGGACAATGATAAGACTTCAAGAAGCTCCAGAAGACTGTAGGAAGACCACACAAAGACGGGAAAACTCTGAACAACATTACTGAAAACAACAGGGAGACAAAAGGACTGCGGGAAGACTGCCGCAAGATCACAGGAGAAAACAATGGGTAATTTGGTGCATTGCCTACTTCACCAAAACAATCTAATCACTTAGGTCAATTTAGCGTAACTACTGCCACCTTGTGTTGATCTGCCATGGAATAAATGCACAGCATGGACGACCAGCCAGAGAAGCACCACGACGTCGCACAATTTCAAGACCTTATTTTTCCCCGAGCTGCCTGAAGCGTCGCCGGTCAGCAAATATTCAGGAAATAACACAACAAAAAGGAGGCTGTGCAAAAAGAAGTGGGGAATTCCCAACGGTAGCAAAACGGGGGGACTGTCCTTTTTACCCAAAAGCGCCACGCTTGCTCGCATGAACTCAATAGTCTGTTTCGCGTTGCGAGCACAGGCCGGATTCGTCACGTCCACAAAACTGATGCCAGCATGAGATAAAAACGTCATCCAGCTCGACTGACCGCGCGGTCGCTTCTGATTCAGTTGTGGGGGCTGCGATAATTTGATCACCTACACGTTTGTGACACGCATCACGATGCTTGCATCCTCCTTCGCAATCGACAGATGTTCTCGGTGCACCTGGCGTGGCTTCACGGCATTTGTTTTGCCCTTTGGCTTCCTTCCGGCGTGCAGGGTCGCTTCTGCTCTCATTTTTTCGTGTACGCGCTGGTCCTGACCATTGCTCGCCAGGGCATACTTTGGCTTTGTGCGGACAGTGCAGCCAGGCGTTTCTTTTGTAGGACCGCCGGCGCATGACCAATTCGGTAAATAAGAACAAGCTTTTTAAACATCAGTGAAGGCAATCTGGCTGCCCAAAGAAGGACTATTGGCTGAGTTGGGTGACGTTGGAGACCAATCACGCATTTAATTCACGTATTGGCTTAGTACAAGGCTACAGGAACACAACGCTAAGACCACACCAAAGCTGCAAGACTGCGGGAAGACTATAGGACTGGTCTGAATAACTTATGAATTGGGCCGTTTGTAAAATTCAGTTGTTGATTCCTCTCAAAAGGTGGGTTTTCCAAATTTATCGCTTACTTCACATCATTCACCTCATAGACCTTTCTCCGCGACACATTGAGCAGAAACCATCAAGCCACAAACGTAATCACTTCATTTATTGACCCCGCCTCCGGCAGAAAGAGCGCACTCAACAACATTCTCCATCTTGACAAGTTGGACTACTGCAGTCGAAGAGCTCAACATTTTATCCCACTATTTGACATGCTCAAATGGAAATGATTCGCCGTCTCTCCTGGAGCAGTAGATCAACTATTTCACCTATCTCAACTGTTTGAATCATTTTTCATTATTGACAGAAACAGCAAAAAAAAGGTTGAAATAATTAAGCTCAATAAAAAAAATCGAAATGTTACATGATCCCCAGCTTAAACATTGTCTCACAGCATTCATCACACCACTATAATCAGGGTTCCACTTTTTGACTACCTCCGCAATGCCCCCAACAAGGGAACCCCTGGGTTTAAGCCTTTTGGCAGGTAGTAAACAACTGGAAGCAAAGGCTCAGAGAAGAAAGGCGCCCAACTGTGTTGACCTCGACATAAAGACCCGAGAAGTGCCAGTCAGAAAGCACGTGCAATGCTAAAATGGCGTTCTTGACATAGTGGTATGGAGGCAATTATATTCAGGAAACGTACATCAGACACAAGTGTTGTTTTTGGCAGAATGATGTTAAAGCTGTGATATTCATGCATTGTGACACAATGACAAAATCATTTTTGTCTTCGGAACCAACTTGAAAATCTTTTCGAAGTCGTCCCATGATTTCCTTCTCGAACACGTCATCACCCGTCATAAGAAGATCATCAACATGAAGAGACAGTGCTCCATGAACTTGTCGATTCTTGGCATTGTTACCGGAAACAGGATCCATAAGGTAATCAACTGCTCCTTCAAGGTCGAAAGTATCGGATGACTTCTTTTCACTCACCAATGCGGGCTTCGGAAGCTGCTTGCCGTAGTATACATATGTGTAACGGTCTGCCCTGGTTGGCACCAGTCCGTAAGAACGGAGTGCCGAATCAAGGATGCTACACCATCTGCGGGGTGCGTCATTTAGCCCGTAGGCAGGCTTCTTCATGCGCGCTCCAATGTGTGGTGAATATTCCATTTCAGGAGGGATCTGACAAATGATGTCACGAGTCTGATCGTATGCTTCACCTTAAAGAAACGCTGTCTTCAAATCCATGTGAAATATATTCCAGCCTTTATTTGAGGCTGCTTGGATTGCAAGGCGGAAACCACTCCTGGATGCAGCAGGACTGTCTGTCTGCTGATCATTCTTCTGCTTGTCTTGGAAGCCTCGGAGGACCCAGCGAGCCTTGGTCTTCAGGAAGTTACCATCCTTGTCTCGCTTTAGGGTAAGGACCCAGCGACCAGTGACCCAGTTCCTGACCTGAATCTTGCGTGCGTCGACTAAGTCGAACACTTCGTTATCAAGCCAAGATTTGCACTCGAGCTGCTTAGCTTCAAGGAATTGCTTCTGGTAAGCTCTTATTTCCGTGGCTGTAGCTTCCTTCCGCTTCTTGCCAATGAGTGCGGATGTGGATGAAGCCTTCAAGGATTCTTGCTTGGATGAATACAAGACTAAGAGTGCACGGTCATCATCGGTCATGTTCTTGCATAACTGGTCAACATGATTCTGATCTGTGTATTTCTGATGAGAGAATGCGCATCGGGGCGATGGGATGAAGGTCCCTTTCACACGTCCAAGACAGGGTTGCCTTCGATATCTCTCGGAACCGTAAAGGATCCGGTGTTCGCACAGATCTTCTGTTCGGCTGTCATGAGTGACCATTGTGCTTCATCAAGAACGAGATCAGCTTGGTGATCCTCTGAGAGTCTTCTGATTCTCCATCTTCCTGGTCAGTATATCTCATGGTTCTTTCTGAACTTCCAGTGCCGGATGAGGCTGGAACATGAGGGATCAGTTCTTCCTCACTTTCATATTGTACCGGCAAGTTTGCTGGATTGCTCGGATTGTACTTGGATGAAGATGCAGGTTCATTTCTGGGAGAATGACCAGGTGACTCATCATTGTCATCTGGCTTCTTCTTCTTCCCAGTCTTCTGCTTCTTTGATGGACTGCCAGTTGTTTCTTCTTGCACAAGTGTTGGCAGTTCAAGATCTTCATCTTGGTCTTCTGCTTCGGGATTCGTAAGACAGTCGGAAGAATTGGCTGAGATGATTGCGACTGACGGCAAAGAGACATCACGTTTTTGCCGTTTAAGCGCTGCATCTCTACTGTCGTGCGGCGGCAGTGGTGGATCCACTGGACTGTCCGGTGACAGCGCTGGCGGCATGGGATGATCAGGCTGATGTGGAGGATCCGGAGGAGGATCTGAAATGTTCTCGTCCGGTGGCGTTGGAGGTCTTGGATCAGGCATGGGATGGTCCGGTTGATCAGGTGGCTGCTGTGTGTCAGGTTGTTGAGGTTCATCCGTTGGATCCGATGGATCCGTCTCGATGGGCATCGGCCTGATAGCCGGCGCATCTGTGAACGACTGATGAACGGATGAAAACATCACGGCATGCCAAGTCTTCGGATCACATTTCTCCCAATTGCATTTTGATGGAGGCAAGACCCAAATTCTATTCAGCTGATCCGGCTGCCAGAAGGATATGATCGCATCCGCATATTGATGCCGATGGTGTGGACGTATGCGGTGCATGCATCATACTGAGTGGATGAGATGCACAATTGTCTCAACTTCTTGCAGCCGTTCCACATGTTCTGACATCGCCAGTCATTAGGATCTTGCTTGGAGATATCGATTTCAGTCCCCGGTGGGTACTGCTTCATCGTCTTCTGAAACTTCTGGACTAGCGGATCCTGGATGACCAATGGTTGATTGTCCTTGTTGAACGGCAGGTCCTGAATTCTGACTGCAAGACTGCTGCTGGTCATGTTGAACTCCTTGTTCATGGCTTCCATCTCCTTTCTCAGGATGTCAACCTGCTTGATGGTGAGTGGTTCGAAAAGGTCCTCCAAGAGGCACACCTCGTTGTCAAGTGGTTTCACCTTCAAGTGTCGTAGGAGGATATGCGCGAGATCCTGACAGAACTGGTAAGGATATACCTGTGCCAGTGTGGTCCTGCTTCCGAAAGTACCAGCATTTCCCTCTAGGGGTTGGTGTTCATGCTTGACTGAGCTGGAAAAATTTTACACCTTCTGAAGATCGGTCTCATTACCTCGAGAGGTAAGCAGTGCATCAAGCGTGGGCTTGAGACCCCGGACTCAGGATCTTTTAGTCCGTATGCACAGAAATGGAAATCTCCCCAGGTCACGGATGGATCTGAGAACAATTGCTGCATACAATTCAGATACCATATCCTGGATGTCTGAGGATTTTCAATGATGAAGTATCTTCCGTGCTTCAACTGATATCGCGCAATGGATGCCACAAATTCAACCATGGGAAGATAGCGTCTCCGCTTTTCCCCAACCTTTTGTTGGTCTTGTTGGATGTTCTGCATATTTGACCATGGTCCACAGACCGGTGCCATTAGGATGACATCAGGTGCTTGCTCCCTGATGATCTCCATGACCATGCGTCGC